ACACGCCATAAAAGAAAAAAGAAAACTCCATGTTAATGCCCAACCATGAGCCTAAACCAAAGCAACGCCCGTCAAAGGCCGCTAACCACCCAGTCGTAGTCCAGGCCGGTCGCTTCCACATCAACCTGCTTCATGAGGTCACTAGTCTCAGGAAACAATGCACAAGGGCCCCGGGGACAACCCAAGTCTTCATGAAACAGGCGGGTGCATTGAGGCTCGGCCACATCCGAAAGGATTCGCAGCAAGTAATCGATGCTCCATCCCTCATACGGGGCCTCGGGTGGCGGGAAAAGATCCTTCGGCTTCATCTCTGTCATCAGCTGTCCAACGACCATCGCGTCGCAGGCCGCACAGCAGCCGCCTTCCTCGAGGATAGATTCCATGCGTTGGTAGAGCGAGATGACGAGGGCGTCGACGTGCTTCTGGCGAAGGTTATCGATGTGTTCTGCTCATGTCACAGGTCAGTGTCTCACAATTGCAGTCTTTGAAGTAAAGAAAGATAGAATGATACGCACCCAGTAACAGATCAGGAATCGGCAGTCCTTGTTTGAGAATCTCCCCGGTACTTCCCCGAATAGCGACGCGAGTGATGTACCAAAAGAGACTACGATGACGGAACACCCAGGCGATGTAAATCCACTTGACCACGTCATTGTCATATGCCTTCGGGATCGATTCAGACATATTTATGACCCAGATTTCACTGTAAGCCATCATGTTATTGTAACATCCGAAGTGCTCAGTCAGGAGAGCAATCATGCACAGGGTGTCTGGGGTAACGTGGCGTGGGACATTTGGGGCGCGACCGTGAACGGCATTAAGCAAGACGAGCAAAGCACCGAGGTTATTGAATCGAGGAGGAAGAGCATCGGCTTCTTTGATCTTGTCCTCACTGTTGATCTTCACTTGAAAGTAAGGGCAGGTATGGGCGAGTTGATCCGAAGATACTCTGATTCTGGCCTGCACAGTGCGGTTGTGAGAGACACTGTTGGTGGCTTGCTGTCCAGGGTTGGAGCCGATCAGTTCGTGTTCTGGTGGAGCTGGGGCACTGCTCCGCCGGGGGAATTTGCTGATGGTGTCGACAATTCCCTGGAAGTAGGTTGGAACGGACCGGGTTGTGCGGTGGGTGGGATCTAAATGGTGAAATGGTGCATTAGCATTAATATGAATACGTGATGACTGATGAATCTGCACTCACTGAATCGTGTCAGGCGCGTATACATCTGCTCACCATCCGTTTCGACCACAAGGAGCATGTCCCCGCGGGCATCGATGGTCATATAGTTCAGATCCATGGCGATCCGGACTCTGGTGCCACCGTGTGACTATGGAATGATTAAGATGCAGGTAAACATCAAGATCGCCGGGGCGAGCAGAACACTGGACTAAAATGCAGGAGAGGCGCCGGACTTAGCGAGTTGTCTGTGAACCAGTGAATGACCTGTCAGTGAATAAGAGCACACTTCAATCATTATGCAGTCGACCATCATTACGCAATACGAAATCTATACTTCTTCGTGACATGGTATTGTATTCTTTGTATATTCTATATGCCTCGCATCATGCATTTCGTAAGTCATGATGACCATAATCTATCTATTCATAGATATCCACTCGTATGCCAGCCCGCCGGTCATCGGTGGCCCTAGTTGAAGTAGCCAGGGAACAGCCAGTTCATCCGCTCGCGAGCCTCGGGGCTCCAGTTGGGCTGGGCAGTGCTCATACCAAACTTGACGGATCCCTCGATGTGCTTGGCCTGCACCAGCTGCGAGTTCTGCTCAGCGGCCAGCTCGTCCAGCACAGCAGTCACGAAGCGCTTGGCGTTGACGGCGTTGGCCTTCATGTTGCCCATGACCATCTCCACGGTCACATCGGCGGTCGACTCGTGCCAGCAGTCGTAGTCAGTGGACATGCAGATCATCTGGTAGGCGATCTCGGCCTCGCGGGCCAGCTTGGCCTCGGGCAGGCAGGACATGTTGATGACGCTGCCACCCCAGGAGCGGTACAGCTTGCTCTCAGCGCGGGTGGAGAACTGAGGTCCCTCTATTTGGTAATCAGTAAATGCGACCCTTATTCCATCAGACAATTATCACATACCCATGCAGATCAGGGTACCGCGGTCGTGCAGCACCACACCCTCACCCTCCAAGCTGTGTCCACAGGCCCGGACGACCTTGGCGACACCCTCATCGAAGGGATCACCGAAGGGAACGTGAGCGACGACGCCACCCTCGAAGAAGGTGAAGGGACGGATACCCTTGGTGCGGTCGATGACCTGGTCGGGAACAACGAAATCACGGGGCTTGATCTCCTCCTGCAAGCTACCGACGGCGGAGAAGGCGATGATGGTGCGGACACCGATGGAGCGCAGAGCGGCGATGTTGGCGCGGGCGGGGACCTCGTGGGGAGCGATCTGGTGGTGCAGACCGTGACGGCTCAGGAAGGCGATGGCGACCGTCTGGTTGTTGTGGGAGCACTTGTGGTGCAGGATGGTGATGGGGGAGGAGGGGGTGCCCCAAGGAGTCGAGATGTTCAACGACGCAACCTGGGTGAAGCCGGGGAGCTCACGCAGACCAGTACCGCCAATAACGGCGATACGAACGGGCTCTACGTAGAGTAATAGCGATCAGTATGGATTTGTCAGGAGCACGATGCGCCGGGCGGGGATCGGACTAACCGTCGTAGGTGGAGGGAAGGGCGGCCATTCTTTGGGCGAGTTGCTTTGCGGACTCGATTCTCCTGAGGGGGCGGGATGGAAGAGTGGACAAGAGACGGCGCAGGGCAAGCAAGGGCATACAATAAGAGGAGAGGAGGAGGAGAGGAGACGGAGTTATGAAGTTGGAGACAGTCGCAAATCTTCCATGGCGGGGTCATCGCCCAATCGGGTAATCCGTTTCCGCCTGAGGCGGCAATCTTTTATTGCGCCCCACGTGCCGCTTCCTCAGGCACCATTCGTCCATTATCTCTTATACTTGACTGGCTTTACTCCTGTCGCTCCAAAACTTCTATTCTTCACGTGCCAATACTTTCTGCTGTATAACTCTATGTTGGATAATTCTTTCTCAAATTAGCTATGGACTGGACCGACAGATATCAAGAATACAAAAAGAGGACTCAGAAATACCCGGATCTATATATTGTGGAATTATCATGACATGTCATTGAATGTCTCCGAGTCATTACAACATTATCTTCTTCCCTATATAACAGTTACATCTCTGCATTAGGCGGGACGCCACTCGTAGTGGTGAGGTCCCTTCTTCACCGGCCCCGGATCCTCTCCAGGTACGCCCGGTATGTAGTAGGCATGGGCGCCAAATAAATCCATCTGCGCCTCCATGAACTTCGTGGGGAGCATCGTCCCTCCTTCATACTTCAGGTACTCTAACGTCGCAGACAACGCGGGAATATACTGATCTGCTACTGTGGCCGCCAACACCACCTCCTTAAGCGCGTCGAAGTGCTTGTGCAGCTCCCGGGCGACCTCATCCAGGAACTTCATGTTGGTCAGATCAGGACGCATGAGCGGTTGCAGAAGATCTGCAATAGCTTCAGACTGAATGATGCATCCCCCACGCCAGATCTGGATACATTTGCTGAGATCGACGTTCCATCCCTCATCCTTGGATGCGCGCGCGATCAACTCCAGTCCCTGGCAGAATGAAGCCAAGAAGGAGCAGTAGACGGCGCGACGCAGCTTCTCGATGAAGTCTTTGCGATCTTTGGTGTCGATGGCCTTGGGACCAGGGATGTTGAGCTTCTTGGCAACCTCCAGTCGCTCAGCGCGATTACCACTGGCGATACGCATATAGTGCGCTGTAGCAAGCGTAGGACCGGCCACATGTCGGTTCGCGGTCTCCATAACCGACCAGTAGGGCGTTCCTTCGGTGTCATCGTCGTCCTGTACCACTTTGTCGAGCACGTCATCCAGCACGTAACCGCCGTTCTGACTGGCGCCTTCGCCTTGGTAGTCGCCCTGGGGAGTCTTCTTCGTGCGCAGGATCTGCACACCAATGTCGAGCAGAAAGTTCTTCCGCAGCTCTCCCTTCGTATTCCAGTCTTCAAATATATCAGAGATCTCCTGATACTCCAACCCCAACCCCCAATGAAGCAAAGCCCACGCCTCCGCAGTGGTAGACAACATTCCCCCCTCAATACCATTATGGACCATCTTAACAAAATGACCCGAACCAGCAGGTCCCACATTCGTCACACAAGGCTTGCCGGTCTTTTCATCCTTGGCAGCATACTGCTCCAACAACGGTAAGACAAGCTCAATCGCCTCCGGATCACCCCCAGGCGATAAACTCGGGCCATGGCGGGCCGATTGATACCCGCCCGAGACACCCATGCCGATCCAACTGACGCCGAGTTCCTTGCATCGTTGCTGTCGCTGCTCAGTCCGTCGATAGTTCTCATTCCCGCCGTCGAGGATAATATCTCCCTTTTTCAGATCATTCTGGATCATATCCAAGACCGAGTCCGCGGGATCACCATGGGTGATAGAGAAAATAAATAGCTTCCGTTCCCCTTGACCTTCCAGACTCTTGGTGAATTTATCGATCTCGTAGAATCCTTCCACTTTCCCCTTGCCGCTGAATTTCCCTTCGTCGTACCATTTCTTGATCCCGTCGACGTTTTCGCGCTTCACGTCCCAGATGGAAACGTCCAGCCCGAGCTCCGTGAAGGCGAAGCTCATCATCGAGCCCATGTTGCCGGCTCCGACGATGCCGATTCGTTTGAAGGAGTGAGGCGACATATTACTGATTTTATTGAGAGTATAGTTAATTGGGTTTACAGTGGAACATTGTTGGGGAGTTGTGAAACAAAGCATTTTTAAAGAGCTGCCGTGGCGCGGATAGGCCAGGCACTACTACTACTACGCACCCGTTACATCATGTGCAGACGTCATGGAAGACACCACTCACTCACTATCATCATGCTATACAACCCATCCTAATACATTATAAGCATGGCATGATTGATTGACCAAATAATAGATTCCACTGATCCGATCAAAACCTGCTGCAGAATCAACTACAATATACAAAGTACCTGTCTGGAAGCACCGGAAGCCCTAACCTCAATCAACGGCCCGGTTACATCATCCTGAACGAACCCAAAACCAACTCAATTGCGATAACTCTACATCCAACCACCATTCCCTTCAATTCAACATTCTTAAGTACTGACTATAACTGGAACTCAATCACCTTTAACACATCAATCTAACTCACCACCCCAACCCCAACCACACAACCATCATCACCCCTACATATAAAACTACTATCACAGCATCTACAACAACCACAATGTCCCCCACAACAGAAATCAATAAGATCCCCCTCAGCTACGCAACCTGCTCCCTCGGCCCCCCCAGCACAACCCCCCTAGAAACCAAACTCTCCACTCTCCGCTCCGCCTCCTTCACCGGCATCGAGCTCGCCTTCCCCGACCTCCTCGCCTACGCCAACACCCACAACCCCGGAACCACCCAGATCCTACCAACAGACTACCCGGCCCTCATCCACTCCGCAAGCCAAATCCGCACACTATGCGAATCCCACAACCTGCGGATCATGATGCTGCAACCCTTCGCCAACTTCGAGGGATGGCCTCGCGGTTCCCCGGAACGGGAGGATGCGTTCTCCCGTGCAAAAGGGTGGAGTGAGATTATGGAGGCGTTGGGGACGGATTTGTTGCAGATTGGGTCGACGGATACACCCGCTGAGAAACTGTCCCTGGGGGACAATAAAGAGAATGTGGTGGAGGATCTGCGTGAGCTGGCAGATATATTAGCGAGCAAGGGCCAGCGTATCGCGTACGAGAACTGGTGTTGGAGTACGCATGCCCCGAACTGGAAGGATGTGTGGGAGATAGTTAGGGATGTGGGGAGGGAGAATGTCGGGTTGTGTTTGGATACGTTTCAGACTGCTGGGGGGGAGTGGGGGGATCCGACGGCTCCTGAGGGGGTGGTTAGTGGTGAGGATGTGAGGAGGAGGTATGAAGATAGTTTGGAGGAGTTGGCGAGGACGGTTCCTGCCGAGAAGATCTTCCTGCTGCAGGTGTCGGATGCGTATAAGCCACTATCTCCGTTTGAGGATGAGGTGGTGGATGGGGCGAGGCCTAGGGCGCGGTGGAGTCATGACTTCAGGCCGATGCCGTATCATGGGGGGTATTTGCCGATTGAGGAGGTGGGGAGGGCGGTGTTGAGGACGGGGTTTAGAGGGTGGTTTAGTATGGAGATTTTTGATGGGGGGAAGTCAGGGGAGGAGGAGATTGGGGATGTGGAGGGGTTTGCGAGGGAGGCGATGGGGAGTATGAGGAGGTTTTTGGAGAGGTGTGCGGATGGTATCTAGGGCCTAGTGTAGGTTTACAAGTATAAGGATGTTCCGGTGGACTGGATATATTTAATAACTAAACTATTCATACAACAATTTTACCGAACGCCACATATGCAAAACTCGTGGGGAATATGGAATATGCCAAATAACCATCTCTCATCACCATCCTACTCACCTCCCTAAGCATCGTTGCTGGGGTAGGGGACCTTGTAGGTAGGGACAAACTCCTCCTTGATCGACCGCAGACTGACGAAGCGGGACAGCAGGTTACCGCTGCCGGCCTTGTCGTTGGTACCACTGGCACGGGCACCGCCGAAAGGCTGCTGGCCAACAACAGCACCAGTGCTCTTGCAGTTGATGTAGAAGTTACCGGCGGTGTTGCGGAGAGCATCGTCGGCGGTGCGGAGAACCTCGCGGTCCTGGGCGAAGATGGAGCCGGTCAGACCGTAGTCGCCGGTCTGGTCAACCTTCTCGCAGATCTTGGCAAAGTCGGCCTCGGTAGCGTCAGCGTAGGTGTGGATGACCAGGACGGGACCGAAGAGCTCGCGGGAGAGGAGAGGGTGGTCGGGGTTGGTGGTGTGGTAGACGGTGGGCTGGATGTACCATCCCTTGGAGGAGTCGTAGCTACCGCCGGCCAGCAGCTCCAGCTCGGGGTCGTTCTTGGCCTCGTCGATCACGTTGGCCAGCTTGTTGAAGGAGGCCTCGTGGATGACGGGACCGCAGAAGTTGGTGAAGTCAGAGGGCTCGCCAACCTTGATGTTCTTGGTCTCGGCAACGACGTTCTTGATGAACTCGTCGGCAATGGAAGCGGCCACGTAGGCACGAGAGGTGGCACTGCACTTCTGACCCTGGAACTCGAAAGCTCCACGGACAGTCTGGACGGCGGCGTTGCGGACATCGGCCGACTTGTGGACCAGGTGGAAGTTCTTGCCACCGGTCTCACCAACAATGCGGGGGTAGCTGCGGTACTTGCCCTCGGCGACGCCGTTGGCAATCTGGCCGTAGAGGCTACGGAACACAGCGGTGCTACCGGTGAAGTGGAGGGCAGCAAAGTCGGGGTGGTTCAGGACGGTGTTGGTGACCTCCGCGGCGTCACCGGGGACGAACTGGATGACGTTCTTGGGCAGGCCAGCCTCGAGGAGGATCTGGTGGACGAGCCAGTTGGAGGCAATAGCGGAAGGAGAAGGCTTCCAGACGACGACGTTACCCATCAGGGCGGGGGCACCAGCCAGGTTACCGCCAATGGCAGTGAAGTTGAAGGGACTGATGGCGTAGACGAATCCCTCCAGGGGACGGTATTCCACACGGCTAGTCGGATTAGTTTGATCCACTGACTGCTACTTTAGATCGTGCATGACTTACTTCCACACACCAGGGGCGTGGTGAACGGGCTGCTGAGCGTACAGGTCCTCGGCGTACTTGACACCGAAGCGGAAGAAATCGCACAGCTCAGCAGCAGAGTCGATCTCGGCCTGCCAGGCATTCTTGCCCTGGCCGTGCATGGTCAGAGCCATGATGTCATAGCGGTATTTGGTCGAGATCAGGTCAGCGGCCTTGAGGAAGATGCTGGCACGATCGGCGAAAGAGGTAGCAGCCCACGACTTGCGAGCCTCGAGGGCGGCGTCAATAGCAGCCTGGACCTCGGCGACGGAGGCGTTGGAGTAGGTAGCCACGGGCGCATGGGAGGCGGGGCTGCTCTGGGTCTCGACCTGGGAGCTCTTGATCTGCGGGGAGTTAGAATTATCCAATTGTTTCTGCTACTCGCATGTCTGCTACTAACCTCCTTGCCGGCAATCACCAAAGGCACATTGAGGGGACCGCTCTGCTTGGTTCTGGCGAGGGCCTCCTCGAGACCACGGCGGTCAGGAGATCCGGGTGCGTAGTGTTTCTGCAATTGAGTCAGTAAACTTGACGATGAGCGCGATTTCATCGTTACTCACGTTAGGCTCGTTGTCAATGCGAGGAACCTTGAAGGTGGCGTAAGAGCCCATAGCACGAGCGCTCGTGCGGGCAAAGGAGAGGGAGGGGCATTTGGCGAGGGAAAGGCCCCGAGAACGCAGGAGCAAAGAGGACTGCATGATGGATTGTGCTCTTCCGAGTTGTAGCAACTGGACGAGGACTGAATCCGAGGGGGATGAAAAGTAGGAGAGCTGAGGAGAAAGTGAAGCAGACGCGGGGAAGCTCCGGTGATATAAGAGGCCCGGTTACTGCCGGCCGTGGTTAGTCAGCACGCAGGATCCCTGGGTGGCACAGAGTACACTCCAGTTCAGGAAGAGAGACAAGGTCCTATCCAGCGAACCAACAAGTGATTGTCCTGATTGTCCTTGCAGCGTACCGGCAACCAATGGGCCGGGAAGGAAATGCAGGCAGATCTGATACTCTGCTGTCGCGCTAATCAGCACCGCCGGCTCGATTCCGGGTGGAGCTGCCTACCGGCCCGGACACCTCCACCGGCTGCTGGTCTTCCGCTGCTTTTTATTAGGAGGCAGATAGTGCTGGACACGCACGAAAATCATGACTAACAGGAACCTGTCTTTGTTGGATTTCCAGCATCATTTAATGCTAAGTAGATTATGTGAATTTGAAATGGATTGTGTTGTGTTCTGTGATGCCAGCGGTAGTCTCTCCGCCTCCGCATTGATCCCCCGCATTACGAGCGATCGCTCTGGATTCTCCGCTGTCTGACTCGCCTCCAGAAGCTAGAAGCTGAATTGAATAATACCCAGATATGCGATACTAATTACCTTACATGGAGTCAATTGACAGCTTAAAGCACCTGTAGAATTGATGACGAATGCCGAGTTTGATCCATGCATGATGGCTGCATACCGACAAAATGGCAAAATACGTGGAGCGGCAAAAAGAGGCGGAGATGAACACCGCAGCAAGCCGACGCGTGACTTGACCACCTGACCTCTCTGCAAAACTACTAGTAATGATCAAGATAGCTGCTACTCTTTTCGGTCATTGTGGGCAATGACAAATATCCAAGCCATTGCGCTTCCATTCTTGGCTAAAACTTTCTATCTATGTACATGTGTCGTGCCCAGAGGATATGCAAATATATACTTCTGACTCAAGTGGTGAATCCTGCTCAAGCAATCCACCACCACACCCTCTCCAGCCAATTACGCGGCTTCCGCTCAAAGTCGTTCTCGCAGAGCCGGTCAATCTCCTCCTTGCCCGTGAACACGTCAATCTCCGACACCTTGGTCATCCATGGGGTCCGGTACCACACTTTGTGGCCCACATAAAGGGCCAGGAAAATAGCTACCACGATATACGACACCAGAAAGTCGGCCGCAGTGAAGTTGCCAGGGAAGAAAACCGCGTAGCCGTTGGTGATGGTCAGGAGGGACACGATCAGAATAACGTAGTATGTGCCGTAGGGCTGCAGAGAAGTCTTGAAAGTGAGCGTGTCCATCAGGCCATGGTAAGTCAATGCTTTGCGGAAACGCTAGATTTCGTCAGTCGGGTCTGCTAAGGATCGACGGAAATAACTTACCAAATAAGCAATACCAATGAGCACCCAGTTGATGAACCCTCCCACTGTGGTGATGTTCGTGAACCAGTAGAAGACGTTCTCTCCCGAGTCCGACAGGTTCAGGAAGGACAGCAAGCCGACTACCCAGGTGATGAGAACGGCCACGTAGGGCACGCCGTTGCGGTTGCACCGGGTGAAGATCTTGGGGGCCTGGCCGCCACAGGCGAGGGAATACAGTGTTCGAGAACCAGCGAACAACCATGCATTCCCTGAGGACCAGGCTGAGATCAAGATAGCAGCGTTGACGACATGGTTCAGCCCCGAGATACCAGCATTCTGAATGGCAATGACAAAAGGGCTGGCACTGGCGCTCGAGCTACCGCTGGCTACCGCGGACATGAGTTTAGGATCATTGTAAGCCACCGTGACACCAATCACAAGGGTTCCCAGAATGTAGAAGGCGAAGACTCGGTAGATGAATCGGTTGGTGGCTTTCGGGATGTTGCGACGGGGCGCTTCAACTTCACCAGCGGCAGTGGTGATAAGCTCGGGGGAGAAGATAAAGGAGAAGCCAGACTTGATAAAGGCGGTCCAGAAATCGAGGAAGCGACCGGTGTTTCCGCCCACCAAGTAGGGATTAAACGCACCCGGGTTGTCCCAGTAGCGGAAGCCGAGTCGATCATGGTTAGGGCCACCACCAAAGAAAAGCACCACGCCCAGGATAATCAGACCAATGATGGCAAGGATCTTTAACGTTGCGAACCAGAACTCGGCTTCACCATACCATGACACCGCGACGATATTGAGAAGCAAAATCACTGTGATTGTCAGAATCAATCAAGAACTGCCAATTAGAAGTTTGAGGAACATACCGAGGAGGATGATGGTGATCCACACTCCAACATTTATGGAGGTGGTCCAGTACTGGATGATAATCCCGGCAGCCGTCACTTCACTTGCCAGTAACATGGCGAACGAGTACCTAAGAGGCATAAAGATTAGATTGTGTTGGTGAAAGGAGAATAAGGTCAACCTACCAATAATTGTATCCTAAATCAGAGTTAGCTTATTACTGCAGAATTAGAAAAAACATGTAGGTACAATGCAAGACATACCAGCAGCGAATCCGATACTAGGCTCCGTGTAGCGGCCAATCACATAAGGCACCGAAATACCCTTGATGGGCAGATAGGTGGTCATCTCGCCCAGCACGTTCATCACAAACCACACCACCGTGGACATGGCAAAATAACCCATAAACAGTGGTGCTGGGCCCACCGTCGACAGCGTGGACCCGGAACCTACGAATAGACCGGTGCCAATACAACCACCGAGAGCAAGCAGCTGCAGCTGTCGAGAGGACAGTCCACGCTGGGTGTCTGTGTTTGGCCCATGGTGGATCTCGCCCTTGAGGGCCTCGGGGTCTTCATCAACATATACTGGAGGAGATGTCACTTCATTTGCGGACTTCTCAGAGTCCTTGAACGTCGGTGCACCCATTCTGGTGTGTACAAAAAACGAATAACACACTGATGCGAGTGACTAGAACAGTCGCAGATGGAAATTGGCTACGGACGTCTTATATGGGTGCCGCAGAGGCGACCAGCTGGCCCGTCTCAGCAAACATGCTTATCAGGACCAACACGAAATGACTTTTGAGCTACGGCCCGATGGCGCAAAGTCTTCCAGAAGGACACCATCATTGGCTCCAGAGGGCTCTGGGGAGGCGATATGCGGTGATTTAGCATCTTATCTCTCGTTTGGGTTTACATACGAGCAGTGTTTCTCGTTAGAAGATGGGAAGGTTTGGTGGCTGCCACAGGTTCCCTTATCTGCCTGGCTGGCGGGCGGGGATCGTCCGACGCGGCAGGGACATGGATGCGATATCAGGTTATCTGGCTTGCTCATTGTTTGATATGGATCGGGTTTTCCATTGACGATTTAAGCTTCTATAAAGCTGTCAGAAGCCGGCGGCGTTCCTCGTGGCATTTAGATTATTAGACTGCTGCAAATCCGGGGTGGTTCTCCGCACCACTGTGGGCATATTCTAGAGCGTGAAGAGAGCTGAATCCACCGCGAAGTTGCTGTGACTAAGAGAAACTGCTGCATTGAGAGTCCTCTTGATGGAGTCAATCTGTTACCTAATGCCATGGTTCATCTTTGCTCGTTTGGAAAAGCTTGACCCATCGAGGCTAGCCATTCGCTGCGATGATTGGCCTCCTTAGTTGCCGCCCGGTGGAGTTTTTTTGCTCCCTCCGCCACTAGTGCAGAAAGCCCGAAAACGGCTAGCAACGCCCTGGTGCCTCGATATCCAGGCACCAGGTGATTTGTGCCTAATGACTGGAAAGTACATAATAGTACGTACTGCCAATTGATGAAAGATTCCGCTGCGGCAACGATGCGGTGCTTGCAACAAACACTGGGAGTAGGCCATGATGGGGGGGGTGCTTGAATGTGAGGACTACTATGAATGGAAGAAAAATACTTATATTCCTATCAGCGATGTCGGTCTCTTAGTGCATGATGTTCCAGGGGTATACATGTACATTCCTTTCATGCCGACATAGTAATGGTTTCTAGTGAATCTGTAGCCCAGCAGCACGACCGGGCCGGTCAAGCGGCGACAGCTCCGGTGGGGGTGCACCCACCGGCCCGCCTACCGGTCATCGCCAATCTCTTATCGACCACTTATCAGGGTTATCGCCAGATCGATAACCTGGACTTTTTTTTGACCCCTCCAAAAAGTACGGGAAACAAGGATGGTTAGGGTTTTGGGCACGGGACCCTTGGTGCTTTTGTCTATAGTTCGAGATACTTTCTCATTTGCTAGGAAGCATAAGGCGTAGTCAAGATCCAGTCAAAACCCTCCTATTGAGTAGTGACACACACCACCCCAACTCCAGTTCATCGGTAAGCTCGAGCGAAGCCTACAGTAGCGGGCGATCAGGCGTAGATCTAGACACAACTGGCCGGGTCAGGTGCAACAATGTTATAGTTGGCCACCCTTTCACTGCAACGCCACCCGCATAATCTCCCAGTCACGGCTAGCCAGTTTGCATTATCTAACGTCACGGGGATGGGCAGCCCCAACAAGTAAAAAAAGAAAATGATAGTAATACCGTGTCCGGGTTGTTCCTGACCAGGAGAAAGAAAGCCAATGCTGACCGGCTTTCAGTCCACTTCCTGCCCGGTTTCCACCGGTACGGGAACCGCTTCTTTCCATCCCCCAGCTACTAGTTACACTAGAGAAAGATCCTCCACTTGCCATACTTCCATTCCCTTGCGATGCATTTCATACCACTACAAATTCCCCTCCTTTGTCTCCAGACCGAAGAACTACTTATTTCTATCACCGCTGCGTGACTCTTCAGTCTTCCACACTCATCCTCCCCTCCCCTCCTTGCCACTTTCTTCTATACTCGCCACTTAATCTACCATCATCATGAAGGCTGCCCGCCGTCCTATGCGGGTGCTCTCGAGCGTCCCCTCTACCTACTCGTCCGCTAGATACGTTAGCCGCACCAGCAACCCCAAATCCTCCGCCGCTGCGTCCACCCCCACCAACAACCTGTTGCAGCAGCAGGCTGCCGTTCCCTCCAACGATGCATCGGGATCTCCCCTGGCTAAACTCCCCATCTCCTCCGTCCTGCGGTCGCTGGTGATCCTCTCCGTCTCCTCTTCCACCCTCCTGTTGAAGCCGTGCATCTTCGCGCTCTCGACCCTTGCGCACCCCAAGACCCCCGTTCTGGACGTCGCCAAAAACCCTTTGTTGAATGCGCTCGTCAAGCACACCTTGTACAAGCAGTTCAACGCCGGTGAGAACAAGCTCGAGGTGCAGCAGTCGATCCAGGCCATCAAGCAGTTGGGCTACCGGGGTGTTCTGCTGGGTTACGCTCGCGAGGTCCTGGTGGGTGAGGGCAATGTCGACCCTCGCGACGAGAAGGCCGCGCGGGCAGAGATCCAGACCTGGCTGGATGGTACCCTGCAAACCGTCGACATGGCCCAGGAAGGCGACTTTGTGGCCCTGAAGTAGGTTTTCTCCACATCTTACTCCAATTGGATCATGTACTAATCTTTACAGGTTCACCGGTATGGGTACTCAGGTGCTCGAGTTCTTGCAGAAGCAGGCTGCTCCCTCCGAGTTCATGGATTACGCTATCACAAAGGTCTGCGACCTGGCCATCTCGCGCAACGTGCGCCTACTCGTCGATGCCGAGGAGCAGGCTGTGCAGCTGGGTATCGAGAAGTGGGCTCTGAAGTACCAGAAGTACTGCAATGCGAAGACCCCCGGCCACGCCATTTTCTACAACACTTACCAGGCCTACCTCCGCTCGACCCCGGCCACCATTGCCAAACACCTTGAGGTTGCTCGCCAGGAGGGTTACACTGCTGGTGTGAAGCTGGTCCGTGGTGCTTACCTGAAGACCGAGCCTCGCCACCTGATCTGGGCTGAGAAGGAGGAGACTGACGCCTGTTACGACGGTGTCGTCGAGGCTCTCCTGACTCGCCGCTACAACTCAATGCTGCAGCCCGCCTCCGAGGAGCACAAGACCGAGCTGCCCCCTGTCAACGTTATCATCGCCACTCACAACCGGGACTCCGTTCGCAAGGCCCACGCTATCCGTCTCCAGCAGGCTGCTCGCGCCGAGAAGCAGGGAGTTGATCTCAGCTATGCCCAACTCCAGGGTATGGCCGACGAGGTCAGCTGCGAGCTCTTGCAAGGCTTCTCCAGCGCCGATGGCCCCGCTTCCCAGGAGACCCCGAACGTGTACAAGCTTCTGACCTGGGGCACTGTCAAGGAATGCATGGGCTTCCTGATGAGACGTGCTGTGGAGAACACCGAGGCGGTTGGCCGTACCAAGCAGTCGCAGGAGGCTATGCTTGGAGAGCTCAAGCGCCGCGCTCGTCGCGTGTTTGGCTTGGGTAACTGATGTTGTTCTATGATACCTCTTGACTCGCATATTTGTTTTTGGCTTTTAGCCTTTTTGGCGCATTGTGTGGTTTTGTTGGCTGATTCCCTAAGCGTGAGCATGCATGTAGATGGCGTTAGAAATCTGATTTACCCTTTCATGATAACGAAGCTCAACCTGAACTAGTTACTTGGTGTTATCATAGTGCGGCATAGATAGCCGCTAATCCACGTAGCGCGCGGCGGTGATGTCAAGAGGGACAGTCGATCCATTCCCGACCCCGCGTTCCTCGCATCTACAACGTGTTCCCGATTGCAACTCTCGATCGCAACGGAAGGCCATCCGACATTAGTGCCGGCGAACTAGACCTTTCTTCTCGGTACTGATGTCCGATGATATCCGTGTCCCTTGACACCCAGGCACTAAGTTGGTCTATCTCCGACATCGCTTTCCCCGGGTGCCGAGGGGCTATCTGTCTATAAAGGCGGCTGACCATCTATCAGGCACACTACTCACAACCAATAAAACTATTGGCTTCCCATTTACTATACTCTATATCTCACAACCCTGTTGAATTTTACTGTATAGGATTGTTACATCGCCAACATATTCCTCCATAATGCGTCTACTCCCTGAGCCAGCGGTCGCCCAGATCCTGCGACAGTTAACCCCTATACAATGCCATGACCTTCTTGATGCCCTCTGTGAGGGTCTTACGACTGTATCTTCAGAGTCCTCCACACCCAGCCATGAGCGACTCGTCCACCAACCGCTGCGCAGCACCATCGTCACCAAAGACCAGAACCTCTCTCTCTTCATGCCCGTGTCCAACACTGTCCACACCGGCTTCAAAGTTGTAACCGCTTCCCAGGCTAACGGCATCATCGGCGTCATCAACATCTTCTCCCCGGAAGGTAAACTGCAAGGTCTCCTCAGTGCTGCGGAGATCACAGCCTTCCGCACCGCCTTGGCGGTGATGTCGCTGTTCATTCGCTGCACAACCATCAACAAAGAGCACATCTTGATCTTTGGCTCTGGACGCCAAGCGGAGTGGCACGCTCGACTAGCCCTGCTTCTCGTTCCGGACCAGATCAAGAGAATTACATTTATTAACCGCGGTCGCCAGCGACTGGAGGAGCTGGAGCGAGATGCGATCGCTGATCTACGGGCTGCTCATCCCGATAAGATCTTAGCTACGTTGGTCAAAGAAGATACTCCAGATTACGAGGAACAGCTACGGAATGAATCGGGTGCTTGCGATGTGATCTTCAGTTGTACGCCGGCGACCGAGCCAAACTTCCCGTACACCTATCTCCAACCGTCCAAGCAGCGGTTCATCTCCCTTATCGGCTCGTACAAGCCGCATATGCGGGAGATTGACACTGAGACGCTACTATCGGGCGGAGGGAAAGTTTATGTGGACTCGAAGGAGGCGTGTTTGGAAGAGTCGGGCGAGTTGATCTTGGCGGAGGCGAAAGAGGATCAACTGGTTGAGATTGGAGAGCTGTATGGTAAGATGGGCAAGGATGAGTCTATTGATGTGCCGGAGGGATGTAATGTGGTGTTCAAGTGCGTGGGGATGGGAATTATGGATTTGGTGGTCGGGAATAAGCTGTTGGAAGTTGGACGGGCCAGAAACATTGGTATGGAAGTGGATGGGTTTTAAGAAGCATACTAGCTCTGCTACTAGAGAAAATAGCTCCCCTAAATGGGCTCGATCATGGTTACTGTAGTGATGATCCATCTATATCCGTCCTCCCCAGCTGTGATGACCGGCCGGGCAGCCCTGCAGCGACCAGTTGAGTCACGCGAGCACCCTATTTAGGTATGAAAGATAGCTTAACATATTACCCAATCACAAGCAACTATCCGGAATGCACCAACGCCATAATTTCCAAAATTGTAAAAAATTAAGAATAATCACAGATGGAAAGCATTCCCCGGAGGTCTCGGCGGTAGATCGGCGGCGAGGCATGGCTGAGGGAGGGATCTTATCAGTAAGAAAGATTGGGAAGGGCCAGAGGATCTCCCTTCTCCTCCTCCTTCGAACCCCGGGGAA